TCTCTCGAGTGTATATAAGTGGTGATGCAAAAGGAATGTCTAAAGGAGTATGGCAGTGCTTCCTTGATATTATCAAGGAAAATATGGGTGTGTTGACTTCCCCTCTCTGTCTCGTACATTTTTACAGTCACAATTGTTTTTGCTGTTTAACTCAAATTAAATTTTAAGGGAAGTCGGATGCAGAAGCTAAACTTTACCTCACCGAATTGCACAAGGCTGATCGTTATGTTGAAGATGTTTGGTCGTAGTGGCAGGCTACACCTATGATATAAGATTAATTGTTATTCCTTCGTTATATATTGTTACGTGATTTAGCTTAAAGCATTTTCAAGGTATTCTGCAGATACAGAGAAACTTGTGCTTTTGTATGGAAATTAGTCACTTGAATCTGTCTCATACATCCAAAGCATGCAAAAAAAGAGGATCACATTCAGACGGCATAATCACATACGCAGGAAGAATAAAAAATTTGCTCATATTATGTACATTTTAACAATCAAAATCAACAATAGATCTACAACCATAATTTTCTTCAATCTATCAAGAATTTATTGTCCTCAATTGAAGTGAACTTTTGGTCAACCTCGTCGCGTGTGTAGATCTGATGTTGGTATTCTATAAATACTGGCACTATCTTTACAAATCTAACTTACCATGACCACAGGTAAACCTTGAACGATTTGAAAACCAGGCAAAGTCAATATTGAGCCAAAAGTTGACCATTCAAATACTTCCATAGCATATTCATTGAACTCATCAGAGACAAACAGACGAATATTGTCTATCCTTGAAAAAGTTGTCTTATGAGCAAGAACGATAACTTAGCAAAGGATATGCCTGCACTTGCACCTGAGATATTACATATGTGGTCACCTGTAGTCATGATCTTTATCCCAATCGGCGGGAGATTCCAACATAGGTCGCAGTACGGAGCCAATTTCGGTAGTTTCATCGCAGTCTGTCAAGACATCGACTTGTCCTACCTTGAATTCTTCGTTGTTATGAGAATGCGAGTAAAAATAAGGGAGGATCTTACCTGAGGGTACTGGATCATAAATGGCCATTGAAGGTGTCCCTCGTCATTGAAAGAGACATGGTAATGCTGAAAGTCACATCTGATTGCACTGAGCTACAAAGATTGAAAAAGCTACATACCTCGGGAGCTTGAGCTAGATTTACTTCCAAAAGCGACCAGTCCATTAGTTCCGGCCTTTTAAACGGTAGCCTGGGTCGAAAGTTTAACTTACGCTCATTCAGTGCAGTCAACAAACGTCGTTTTGCCTCTACATCCTTCTTCTCCTGGATGAAAAAAAAA